TGTTGTGGGTGCGTGGATGAAACTTTCCCAAGATCGGTTCAATCTTCTCACACCTCTGACGGAAAGAGTTTGAAATTCCAGTACGATGCCTCCATTTGCAGGAAGGCAATCACCTTCGAGACCCTGAGTTACCAGGAAGGTCATTCAGGTCATGGCGCCATTCTGAGGTACAGTTTGTCGCATGCTGTAAGGGTCCATACATGCGCCACAAAAATATGTTTCATTTTTGCTATGCGTTTCGGGGATTACCTGGAATGGAATGGAAAATTGCTAAGAAAAATGCAATTCAAGCGAGCCATCGGTTGCCCTCTCTGAACGTTGATTAAATATGCATAAAACAACGCAAAAGAGATCACCTTTCTTGGCATGCAGTGTGGTAGCACTGAAGTGTCTTCAGTAATCCTACAGCATCCCTTCTCGCACGGCTATTTAGCGCCGTGCTGGCCAAATAGCGGCATCAGAAATAGTATCAGAATTGTGGTCGGGTTCGTTCCCCATATTCATATCAAATTCAGCAGTTTTTTTCGAACTTTTTGGACTAGGATGATAGACCATTTTCAATTAACGGCTACCAGTGTTCTTTAGAAGTCGTTTTCCAACTTCGTAACCTGGACCTTTCCATTAATCAGTATGCAAGCGCATGAGCAGCAGCTATAAATTTCAAAAAAATACAGATTATACTGCACACCATCTCCACCCGAAAAGTCAGAGAAAAACAAGTGCCGTTTTCCCGGGACTAGGTGCTACGGGAGGTAACCACTTCTTTCATGAAAGCCTAGGCAATAGGAGTCGAGAAAGGTACACGATGCTCGTTCATGTACTCTGGGGTCAACATGGAATTTTTTGAAGGCGACTGAATTCGATAAGGCAAAATGTGCGACGGTTGATCTTGCCTTTAACCTAGGCGATAACGAAGATGTGAGGGTTCCGGTGTCATTGCCACCCAAATGGGCTGTCCATTAGCCCTAGAGGGGCTCAGAAAATTCTTCGCTGAAACCCAGCATCTAGGAGTAGTTGGCGGCCCTGACCATGATTGTGACACTTTGCTGCCGAGGCTAAGTAACACCACCATGGCGCTATATAGCCGCTGCGGTCGGATTGACAACGATTCCACTGAGAGATGGTTCCTGCACCAAATTGGCTATAAGTTGCGCAATAGTCAGAAGGAGTGTCCAGGTTCGACCCTCGATGGATCTTGGCATACTTTGAAGTTCTCTATAGGGTACGGCTGTAACCGTGACCAAGATGATATAACAGTTTTATTGGCTAACGTTTCGGCCTTATCGCCTTCGTCAGAGCCTGGAAAAAGTCAAAAATCAAAGTGAAACTACCCTCGGAAATCATTTCAAACCTCAGATAAGCTAGTCCCAGACCAGAAGGATCCAGAAACCTGTCATAGATCACAACCACAAAACGACTCACCTTGAATGTACGGCCGGTTTTTGCTTGAGACCACCGCTAAACTGACTCCCCGTGGGTGGCTTCAGCTGACCTGGCCCCTCGACTCGAAGCCGATGGCAATTGAAGCCCACACAGGTCAGCAAACGGGGCGAGCTCGTTTGTGATGGCCAGGCATTCGTCCTTTCTGTTCATTTTGGGATTTTTAGCGCCAATCCAAAACGCTTCCAAAGTTTTGCGCGCCGAAGTCTGTGGTTCTCGCATCAAAATCCTAACCGTCACCTCAAACTCCGCGCCTCCATGGCGCTGAACCCGATGGCTACCCAGGGGGGTCTCTTGCCTAGATCGCCTTAGACAATCTAGGTGCTCCTTTACTGGGGCACAGGGGTCGTCTCCCCGATGTACTGATCCCCACAACTCGTGCATGACATCAGGTAGATCACACCTGAGGCCATGCAGTCCCCCTCCCGCCCAGAAGGACATGTGACACAATGTGGGGAGCCGTACCCTATAGAGAACTTCAAAGTATGCCAAGATCCATCGAGGGTCGAACCTTGGACACTCCTTTTCTGACTATTGCGCAACTTATAGCCAATTTGGTGCAGGAACCATCTCTCAGTGGAATCGTTGTCAATCCGACCGCAGCGGCTATATAGCGCCATGGTGGTGTTACTTAGCCTCGGCAGCAAAGTGTCACAATCATGGTCAGGGCCGCCAACTACTCCTAGATGCTGGGTTTCAGCGAAGAATTTTCTGAGCCCCTCTAGGGCTAATGGACAGCCCATTTGGGTGGCAATGACACCGGAACCCTCACATCTTCGTTATCGCCTAGGTTAAAGGCAAGATCAACCGTCGCACATTTTGCCTTATCGAATTCAGTCGCCTTCAAAAAATTCCATGTTGACCCCAGAGTACATGAACGAGCATCGTGTACCTTTCTCGACTCCTATTGCCTAGGCTTTCATGAAAGAAGTGGTTACCTCCCGTAGCACCTAGTCCCGGGAAAACGGCACTTGTTTTTCTCTGACTTTTCGGGTGGAGATGGTGTGCAGTATATCTGTATTTTTTTGAAATTTATAGCTGCTGCTCATGCGCTTGCATACTGATTAATGGAAAGGTCCAGGTTACGAAGTTGGAAAACGACTTCTAAAGAACACTGGTAGCCGTTAATTGAAAATGGTCTATCATCCTAGTCCAAAAAGTTCGAAAAAAACTGCTGAATTTATGTAGATAGGGGAACGACCCCGACCACAATTCTGATACTATTTCTGATGCCGCTATTTGGCCAGCACGGCGCTAAATAGCCGTGCGAGAAGGGATGCTGTAGGATTACTGAAGACACTTCAGTGCTACCACACTGCATGCCAAGTAAGGTGATCTCTTTTGCGTTGTTTTATGCATAGTTAATCAACGTTCAGAGAGCAACACGATGGCTTGAATTGCATTTTCTTAGCAATTTTCCATTCCATTCCAGGTAATCCCCGAAACGCATAGCAAAAATGAAACATATTTTTGTGGCGCATGTATGGACCCTTACAGCATGCGACAAACTGTACCTCAGAATGGCGCCATGACCTGAATGACCTTCCTGGTAACTCAGGGTCTCGAAGGTGATTGCCTTCCTGCAAATGGAGGCATCGTACTGGAATTTCAAACTCTTTCCGTCAGAGGTGTGAGAAGATTGAACCGATCTTGGGAAAGTTTCATCCACGCACCCACAACATTCTGTTGAACTCCTCTGCACCACAACAGCGTTACCGACACCCTTCAAGCCCCTACAGATAAGCACACGAACCCTGTGGAGTGGTTCAGATTCCCGCACGTCACTCATCTACTCTTACTATTACGTATCTTGCTAATAGCTACACTTGATCAACGCGCTCATCTATTATTTCCCACTCGCCAGTCACCCAACTGCATTTCAGCGCATTTTGCGAGCGCCGTAAATGAAGGAAGTGAACCTCTACTGATAAGGGAGCGAGGCAGTACTTGAAAGTCAGATTCATAAATTAAAGAGGGACATACGAAGGAAATTTGATAGGGATAACATAGCAGAATTTACAGAAACGACAAAGAGAATGCCTACGGTTTTGCTGATTTTCTTGTGTAAAGCTTGACCTCAGACTAGCTAATCAGTGAGCTTAAAGAGTAGTCTCATAAGCAACAAACAACATGAACAGCAAGAAGAATAGATGTGCGCAAGAAAGATGAACATAACTACTAGGTTGCACTTTGAGTTTGCATGTCAACAACTTTCGCAAAGGGTTTCCGTCGGTCGGCCTTGCCAATCCGCTTCAAAAGGGTACACAGCTTCGTGATGTACGGTCGATGTCGACATGTGTATTCGACGCAATCCCACATCATGTGCGCAATATCGTGGTCGTCCTTATTTCCAAGACCAATATCCTAGAAAAAATTTCAGTGAAAATAGCATCGTTCTTTCAGATTAGTGATCCCTGTGCTTGCCATTCAAAATTATAGGCACAACTGAATCACATACATTTCAAACTCATAAGCCCCCCCCCGCCCCGTGTGCAAGAGAAAGCGTTTCGGATTGAATATATTGCGACATTTATGGCGTGAAGATATTGCCTACGGATTATTTTCTACCCACAGTCACATAGAGTCCTATAATATACCAGTCGGCTCGCCGGCTGACGCCGGCGCGCCTCCTTCTGTGATACGGCCCGGCTTCGCCGCGCTTACCTTCTTCCACATGTTTATATACCCAACTGATATGCGGCTTTTCTTTATCTGAACAGATGACCAACGCTCCTTGACCAATAACATCATACCTGCTATTTTCAACACTATTACTGTGCATGACATTATGGTAAGGAGCATTGATGAAGTGCAGAGATGACAGAAAGCCGGGTATCAGTCGTGCATTGAACGTACGAAAGCAGGTAGGGTAGACGAAGCCACGCCCGCCCGGCAAGGCATGGCCGTGTCACATAGGAGGCGCGCCGGCGTGTTGGGGGAAACAATATGATGTATTGACCATGTGTGCAGATAAAGGAAAGGCGGATATTAGTCGAGTGAGAAATCATGTGAAAAAAGTATGTGCTGCCGCAGAAGGAGGGGCGCAGGCAACACGCGTTACTACGCGACAACGCGCGTTAAGCGCAGCAACACGTGT